ACCAACCAACATCTAGAATGCCGACCAAAGCTCTATCCAGGCTGTCCACACAGTATGCCTATCATAACAGGCTTGGTTTCAACAAAGCGAAAATACAAACTGTGTGGCAATTTTAAGCTGGTAAATCTTTCATTTGTTTCTTTGAATTTATCAGTTATTTGACATTAATGATTAAAGGCATGTTTTTTAAAATGTGCTCTTCTTTGAGGGAAAAAGACATCATTTTCCAACAGACATTTAGGGAGGATATCAAAATGTAATCATATCTTCTCAAATGCCTCCAAGTAGCAGGGAACAACAAATATGGTATGTTTCCAAAGTCAAGAAATAACACTGTCTCAAGACAAGCACTGTGGATGAATAAATTATCCCAATAAATCTGCAGCATGGATCAGAAAAAGTCCCGACCATTCTTCCAGCAACAACCAGCTACGCCTCTCAACGTTTGATTTCAGACACTGTTGTACTGAATGCATTGGAAAAGCCAGGAATCATTTGGCAGACATTTCCAAAGTGAACAGGAAAAATACAGGGAAGGATCGTTATTGAATTTGTCCTTCAAACAGAAGAAAATTATACAAATCTGCAACCAGAAATATCTGGCTGACATGTAATTAACACCAAACAACAAATATACAGTTTCACAAGATCCAGAAATCTATAGCATGGACGCAGAAAATGTTGCATCCCTTGGGATGCATAATTGTATTATTGCACCAAATCCTTGACAAGAAATATAAGGTTCCTGGAATTGCAGTAATTATGAAATCTTATGATTCAGTACACTATTCCATATCATTTCCTCTGTGCCTCCAATTTTGTTGGTCTAGATGAAAGTGCTAGTGACAGTGAGTGAGTGAGATTGGTTTTAGAATCACTCTGAACAGTATTTCTGTTAGGCCTACAAAGAAAATGCTGTGGTTCCGATTACCTGACCATCCCTTGAATTCTGGTGCCGACCCAATGTTGTGGTATGAATAAAATATGCTTTCAGATACCATTGCTTTTTTCCCTGGCACCAACAGACATCTATCATTCTGATAGAGAAAGTCGACAAGATGGCTGCAAGCTTGATTGGATAAACAATTACACACTGACAAATGTGTTTTTACTTCGTACTTTAATTTTTAAAAAAAGGTAAAAAAAACCACCCAAATCCTACCTACCGCACTAAATGTTGAAGAGGTGCAATGTTTACCACTCTGGTAAAACCCTGAGACTAAGGCATGGCTCTGACATGCCAAGAACCATACATGGTACATCAGGATAATTATATAAGGACCCACTATATTATATCCTGGGCTGCCTAAGGGAAACAACCCTACATAGTGAACTGAAGCTGCTAAGACAGCCAGACCCATGTTCTTGCTAATTACAGACAGGCACCTACATCAACATGTGTCCATCAAGGATGGAGGAAAGAGTCAGCTACTCATGAGAATGGTATATCCTCTGGATCTTTCCAAATATATAGACTATAATGTTTACCATTTTGGGGTCAAGTTCTTATAAAAAAAAGAGTTGATTTCCATTGAGTATTGGTTAATCTTGCCAGGATGTTCATAGTATCATAAAAGTTGGATCATTACAGATATTACATTTATCCATCACCAAGGGATATTACAGTCATTCTCATATCACTGTTTTACCATATATTCCAGTACAGTAGACTACATAGCTGAATTACCAGCACTAAAAACTATCCATGTCAACTTTTGAAATATGGGGAACACAATGTTTTGGAATACATTCTTACTCCATCAAATGTTGCATCGAATTTTATAATTATTTTGTCTTTCACTAATTCACTGACCCAAAATGTGTAACTGTATCTGATGTGAACAGATGAGTGTTTCGCCCCGAGAGCAGCTTGGGATGTGATCTTTGGTTGTATATACCGAAAGATGTTCAAGAATGGTACTTGATCACACCCGGCCTAGCACTGGTCAGTTGTTTGCTTGTTGCTCACACTCAGCAATATTCCAGCTACATGGCACTGGTCTGTAAATAATCTAGTCTGGACCAGACAATCCAGTGATCAACATCACAAACATTGATCTACTCAATAAAAATACAATGACGTGTCAATGGAGTCAGTGAGTCTGACCACCTGATCCTGTTAGTCACCTCTTACAACAAGTACGGGTTGCTGAAGACCAATTCTAACCTGGATCTTCAATGGATTCACTAATCGGTTAAAAAGGACTGGTCAGCTCTCAGTACTTTATCTGAATGGGGTTTTCATGTTTAAAATATGTCATGGTATCTCAATTATAGAGGCCATGAAACAAGTGTTAGTCAAGACTTGTTCAAGCAGCCATGCATTAACATACACACACAAATGCACGCATGTCATTATATAAGTGTAATTAACTTCTCATTAAACCTGTTCACCTCATTTCACCTTATTATGTAACCAGAACACAATCATTTGTCTTGCTGTACTTAGAGGCATTACCCAGAGTTGTGACTCAGCACCACTTATGAAATGCACTGATATTGATCAGGTTGTTTTTTATGTTGTTTTTTATGTATACATCTATCAATCCCAGGAAGATGCAGGGATATGAAAGGAAGACCTCTTTCTACCATTGAAGACATGTTCACATATTACTAGAAATATATACATCAAGATGTGCTGAAAAGGTGCCTAATTTAATTTTGCCTAAACTGGTGAATTGGCTAGAGCACGTTCAGTCATTGCTAATCACAACCGCTTCTATTTAAGTACTTTCTTAGATCTGATAGTCTTGTACATTAATTGATAAGCATATCTCCTGTTTGTAGGGTTCATATTGAGGGTACCCACCCTTTATTACCCTCCCATTCATACACTCAATGGGTAAGTGAGTGAGTTTAGTTTTACACCGCTTTTAGCAATATTCCAGCAATATCACGACGAGGGACACCAGAAATGGGCTTCACACATTGTACCCATGTGGGGAATTGAACCCAGGTCTTCGGCATGACAAGCTACTATTAGGCTACCCAACCGCCCCTCATACACTGAAGGTGACTGAAGCTCTATATTTACCTCGACATTAAAAAGTCAGTCAAGGAATGCTGTCATAGTCATATTGTAGTTTTACTATCATCGCCATCACACAGTATATCGTGCAATTAACCTCGAGTCAAGGCAGTTCTAGGATACCAGGTGCTTCTCAAAACCCACTCAACAAGAGTACCTGAGTTGCCTGCCCCACCCCTTCCTGTTTCAGTGTTTGACATGTTTGACTTCTAACATTATCACTTGCGACGATAATATCACAAAATATGTTCATAATGAGTTGTTAACAATACTAGAAAGCATAAGTTTCATGTCTTCACTGATAACAGAATTATAAATATCTGTCAGTTTGTTGTAGTTTGTCAATAGAATATATCATTCCCCTCTTGACACCTTGTTGAATGTCAAACTGAGCTTATCAATCCAAGCAGCACATGTCTAATAAATTCAGCACTTCCTGGATTCCTGTTGACCCCTGTGAGATAGATTATAACAGATGGGCCTGTGTTTTCTATACTACATGGGCCTTTAGTACATAAAAATCAATTCCTATCATGAAAACAGTGCAGTGTGAGATAAATCAATTCATAGTGAAACTGTGTACCGCATATACTACCCTGCAGATGAATTGCTAATGGTCTTTATTTGAAATAGACTGGACATATTATAATGGCTATAAGGATAAGAAATCTAATGATGGTTACAAATACGAGAGCATGAGAGGAAATGATACAGCATGTCATCATATTCATTTTCCTGAAGAAGGATGCTCCACTTCTTGTTGGGCATTCTATGAGAAATATTCAGTTAATTCTGCAGGGATCCTCTTGCCCACACTATACCAGTGTGTGACCCAATTCAACTGAACAAACAATGTTGTAGAGCAATAATAGCCACATATTTAAACAATAAGGAAAACAGTCAAGCAATTTTTAAAAGAAACAACTACTGACATTAATCTTTGAAATCATCTAAATTAATATGAAAGGTCCATTTTTAGTCAGTGTCCTCTATGTGAATATGTTGTGTTCTATGACAAATAGATTCATAGATTCATTCTCAAAGAATTACATACAGCTTATATACACAGTGGCTATTCCAATAAGGTAATATCCCTGTGTACAACACAATGTACAAAAACTACAAAACATTACAGTGACATTTTAGAAACTGTGGCATTTAAGACAACAATGGACGGTGTTATTATGAAATAACATTCAAAATGCAAAGTAAACACACTCGCTGTAAATTTATAACAGATGAAAAGAAATATTTATATAACAGTATTGTGCATTAATAACATCTAAAAATTTTTCAACATTATTTTACATCAGTATATTAAACATTTCACTAATGAAATTAATTTGTCAATAATACAAAACAAAACATAAATAGCACCATGATTGAACATCACATCAAAAATACATCCAATTCACAAATTAGAAGGAGCTACCATGTAGTGATCAATGAACCGTAAATAAACCACTTAATTGCTTTTCAAGTTAGGTGTTGTTTTAATTAGATGGTTAATTGCTAATTACAGATGAACATGCTTAAATGTAAACTTTGATAAAGATAAGTGTGAAATTTAACTCCGAAATTGCCAAGACATGGTATTTAAACCTGAACATTCATATTTTATATCATTTTAAATATTTTTTTCCATTAATTCTGAATGCATAAACACACAATATGATTCGACATTTATTTAATAAAATATAAATTGCTCAATAGTATTGAAAACAATTGCCTAAATTCGAGCAATCTGTTGATAGAAAATTATCTTAACTCATAGATACATACGCCAATGAAAAGAATTGCTAATACCGTAAATTAACTAATTTTCTTTGGTTCTGAAAACGTTGTTAAATGAGAAACGTGCTTATCTAATATTTTATCTGTAGCCCCAGAAACACCTGTGACAAGCATAGTGTTCAGAGTTCAGTGAATTGAGTGAAATAATTGATCTATATTAACGAGACAGTGTTCTTACCAAGCTGCGTGCAAAACCAGGAGAAAAACGGCTGGCACCACCAAATCGTCTGAGCCAACGGACCAACGCCGGCGGAATACCACAATGCCTGGCATTTTGCAACACACAACGCGCCAGGTAATTTCTATATTAAAATTTCTCCATTTTCTTGGTATTTTCCCTGTAATGAATGTTGACTAGGTAGCTCAACCCATTGCACAGTACATATCCAAATGCGATCACTGCTTTTTTCGCCTGCTACGAGCGATGTTGACAGCCGAAGCTGATGAAGTTGGATTCGCGTAATACGTAGTAAGCAGTGATCTGATTGGTCGAGCGGCGTCATTCACCGCGCACCTGCTACGGGAACCGGAAATACGGAAATGGTCAGTTCTGAGACGAGTTTGACATAAACAGAGGAAATTCCATAAAGTATCCCCATTCAATCATGTAATTTAGTGATTACCCATTCATTTCTGCATTTTAAAGGTATGTGTCTGATGCATTATGTTCTGAGGTTTGCTCGTTATTGGAAAATCTTGTTAAAATCTGACGGAATGTTTAGATGCGAGTAACCAGACTCAGTGCCACATTGGCAGAATTTACCAAAATAATGCTACTGATAGCGATGCTAATTGTTGGATCAGTTGATCGCGTTTTGTATAGATAATACCGTTTTTATTATGTGATCGTCCTTAATTTTTATTTTATTTTAGTTAACTGAGTTTAGGGGTTTGTCATTAATTGAGCTTTGGTGAATGTCATAAAGTGCTTACTAACAGTGTCATTTCCTTTCCTGTTTCCGTTAATATTGTAAACGTGACTGATACATGTATGACAACCGCGATCTTATAATATTTTGGAATATACATATAAGAGAACAAGTGGTAAGTACACCCATATATTGCTGCACAGCAGTTTGTTGCACTCGTGTCAATTGACAGAATTATATGCTGTAGTGAGAATAGCAGACATTTAAAGTTATAAATGTGAAACGATACATGTACACAAACTGGAAGAAACATATACTAATGAATCAGTTTGGGGATCAAATGAATTACATTTTGAAATATTTTTTACAAGTAGATTACAGGGGCTGGTTTTGCTCCTATGTTTTGATACTGCATGATCTGTCTTGTTATCAATAGTATGTTTCCTCAGACGAGCTGACCCAAGGTGCAGAATTCTAATATGTTTAAATCCAAAGGTCCTTTTGGTATATATATTAATGTTTGAAAATAAAACAGTAAAACAGTTACTTAGTCAGATGTTATAGTTGAGACATTTAGAATTTTGTCCACACAGTTCACCTTAAATGCCTAAAAACCAGAAAGCATGGGTTCTACAAACCATCAGTTCAATTTTAGTCCATCCAATATTCAGAAGACCCTTGAAGGTTCGGGTTAGAATATTGATGCTCAGTAACCCATGTTTGTCGTAAGAGGCGACTAACAGGATCGGGTGGTCAGGCTCGCTGACTTGGTTGACACATGCCATCGGTTCCTAGTTGCTCAGATCAATGCTCATGCTGTTGATCACTGGATTGTCTGCTCCAGACTCGATTATTTACAGACCGCCACCATATAGCTGGAATATTGCTGAGTGCGGCGTAAACTAAACTCACTCACTCAATATTCAGAAGGTATGCAGAAGTGATGGCAGTAACATCGGGAGACCATTCATGCTTCTGTAAAAATAAAATTGAATAACAATAATCAGTTTAATTTGACCCAGGGCTATACATGTTGTTACTGAATTCAGTGTTGCTTCAACACAGATTGTCCTTATGCCTCCACAAAGGGGAATTATGAAGTATTATATGGTATCATTTTTTTAGGGATCCTTCAACATGTTCAATTTATAGATTTTCACCAATTTCTGATGCATATAATATTATATTGAGGTAGGTTTGATATGTCAACCTTATAGCATGAACAGGCTTTTGGCATATTGTAGATTCTAACTTTGAATTGTTGTCACCATATTTCCCCAGTGTTACAGTCGACATTTCTTGGTCTACAGGGTTGAAATCAGTATCCTCCACATACTTGACAAACCTTTTGAATAATGATTGCTCCTGCAATTAAACAACATTGCCAATGTTGTAATTTACAGAATTAGGAACTTGTTAACAGAACCTGTGAAATTTAATGTATTTTTCAAGGTTGATAGAATTTGGATGAAATGGAAACATAAATGACTTTCCTGTTCCATTTCATGTCTACATTGGTGAAATGATTGATAGAGCTGTAACGATTCATTCACATGTTCGGTGAAATGAACCATGTCCCTTCATAAATTCAGTTCTCTATTCACGATCACGAGAATAAAATATTCATGATTTTTTTAAAAGGGTTTTTACTTGAATTTGGGTGTTATTTGGCTTATGATATATGCAAAACATTTCTTTATTTAGTTTGATAGTAATATGGTCACTGGTCATTGTAAAAAATCAGCATGGTCAAAACAGGTCCAAGAATATATTGTGTTATTGTTTCACTAAACGTCATGAACAATACAACTGCTGACTTGTTATTGTTATCCCAATATTCATAATCGATTCCCAGTATTTCTGACATGTATCATATTTGCCTCAAAATGGATGTGTTGCAGCTCTAGGCTATAATTAGTCAGCAGCAATCCAACAGTTTGAACTTTGTAGTTTCATGAATCTCTTTTCATTTCAGATAACAGTATTAGAGATCGAAACATCCTATACCAGCATGTGGAACCGGAGACGCCCCAAACTTCAGTTTCTCATCAGTCACATGTTCTTGCTGTGTTCATGTGTTCTATTTGCACTGTTCATGGTGGCGTTTTTGTTCCTGTGGCCATCTACTAGCTCTAAGGACAGATCTCTAAACAGAATAACCGGAACCTAGAAACCAACGAGGTGGTTCAGATTGCATCAGCTGTTAAAATCAACACCCCAGACAGAGAAACATCATGTACATTTCATACTTGCTTGGAAGTTTATCATTGTGGCTATAACGATGACAATAAACTTACGGTGTACATATACCCTATTAAGAGATACTGAAGATGAAAATGGAAACGAGCTGACGGTTCCAAGGTCTAAAGAATTCGAGGAAATATTACAGGCTGTTGCAGACAGCCCCTACTATACTGATGATCCTGAAACAGCTTGTCTATTCATTCCTTCCATTGATCTCCTCAATCAGAACAATCTACGATTAGGGGATGTAAACCGAGTTCTAGCATCATTGCCGCAGTAAGTAAATAATGGAGTGTTTTCGTGACATTTTTATATTGTATTTTATATAGATTCAGTCTATGGTTTTAAAAGAAATAATGCATCCTATACGAAAACTATTAAATTTTTTATGCAGATAATATCCACTGTGAGTCCCATATACTTTATTTTTTTGCTAATGTGAAACGGAGGTCAACTTGCATCAATTTGGCACATGTTTAACTAGAGGTCAGTTTTTTAAAGCCGTGAAGGCCTGGGTTAGAATAGGTCTTCAGCAACCCAAGCTTGTCGTAAAAGGCAACTAACAGGATCGGGTGGTCAGGCTCGCTGTCTTGGTTGACACATGTCATGGTATCCCAATTGTGTAAAATGATCCTCATGCTGTTGATCACTGGATTGTCTGGTCCAGACTCGATTATTTCACAGACTGCTGCCATATAGCTGGAATATTGATGAGTCCAGCATTAAACAACCAACCAACAATTCAATGCTTGCAAACTATTCATGCAATCATGTCATGATATACATTCATAATGTTCATGTAAGTTCTGTCTTTGTCATTGATTTAGGGGTTGGAAAATGTTAACACTGGAATTTCATTGAAGCTTTTTGTTTTGAAAAATTGAGCTGAGTGATGGCAGGTTGGGCAGAGTTGTGTCCCTTAGTTTTGTGATCTTAGTTTTGATTGGTTCACCCCAAATGTGATTCCAGATTTGTCAGCACTATACCTATGCTTATAGATTTGACCAAAGTGGAATCATGTGAGACTTGTATCACTTCAGGCTTTCTTCCCACATCAAACAACCCATGATATAAGTTGAACACTGATTAAAGTTGTATCAAACTTACTTACTGGGGCGGTGGGGTAGCCCAGTCATTAAAGCGTTTGCTCGTCACGCGAATGTCCGGGTTCAATTCCCCACATGTGTACAATGAGTGAAGCCCATTTCTGATGTCCCCCGCCGTGATATTGTTGGAATATTGCTAAAAAGTGGCGTAAAACCCAACTCACTCACTCTCTCACTTCTTACTTGCTATTAATCATTTCTGTCTACTGTTTAGCTGGCAAGATGGCTCCAACCATCTCCTGTTCAACATGCTGGCAGGCAGTTCCCCGGACTTCCGCACAGTGCTTGAACTAGCTACTGGGCGGGGGCATCTTGGCAGGAAGTGGCTTCTCAACCTGGTCCTACAGGAGGACCTTCGACATCTCGGTACCTGTGTACAACCCCCTCATCTCACACATAGACCTCCCACAGAAATCTTACCTGTGAGTATTTCAGTGCCGATGTGAGTAGCTTTAGGTACACTCATCCAGTGGTGTAGGGTTAGAACTGATCTCCAGCACCCATGTACCCGTGAAGGTCCGGGTTAGAATGAACCTTCAGTAACCCATGCTTGTCGTAAGAGGCGACTAACGGGATCGGGCTGTCAGGCTCACTGGCTTTGTTGACACATGTCATCGGTTCCCAATTGTGCATATCGATGCTCATGTCGTTGATCACTGGATTGTCTGGTCCAGACTCGATTATTTACAGACTGCTGCCATATAGCTGGAATATGTCTGAGTGCGGCATAAAACTCACTCACTCACTCACTCACTCACTCACTCACTCACTCACTCACTCACTCACTCACTCACTCACTCACTCACTCACTCACTCACTCACTCCTCACTCACTCACTCACTCACTCACTCACTCCGGCACCCATGCTGTCATATGAGTCATCTTTGTGGATCAGTATTTCAGTGCAGATGTACTGTCGATGAGTTGGGGGTGAAACAACAACAAAAGACACAATAGTTTGATGTTCAACTTATTGTATGCTGAGTCATGTGTCATTTAATGTTTTCAGAGAGGAAAGACAGTGGCTGATTGTATCATCTCAGAGTGGCCTCCATAGTGAATTTCGGGACATCCTGGACAAGCTGGTGTTGGAGGACAACCGGGTGTTGGTCCTAGACCGCTGTCGGGACGACAATAATACCTGGAACGTCACGAAGCGCTGCACCAGCAACTCCAACTACGACTATCCTCAAGTGTTACAGGTAGGGCCAGTAGACTACAAGCAACTACCTGCAACATTTATACCATCATTTGACTAATGTACCTGCATTGATCTCAAACATATTTAAATTGCTCCCCACTGATGCAATTTTTATTCCTGAATCCAAATAGTTACAAATTTTCATCTTTGCAAACAAACAGATTGCACTAAGGTATTTTCTTTAATAGACATGATAATCTGACTAAGCTGTTCTGAACAGAATAATGAAGTCTTGGAATGCTTTCCACTGTTATATAAGAACACAACACCAATGTTATATCAATTTAAATGAGTTAAACAAGCGTCATCAGGAGATGACATATCCCGGTCAGGTGCAATTCAGAAATGGAGTACTTCAACACCACAATTACTATAATAGTATCCATTATGTGTGTTAAGATGATATTTTTTAACAAAGTGGGAGATAGGATGGCATAGTTCATGCATTTATTTCTTGCTTCAAAAGCCCAGGCTGATTGCCAGCATTGGTACAACACGTGAAGCCAATTCTGATTTTCGCCACCAGAGCTAGAATATTGCTTAAAGTGGTAAACAACCCCTTTTCTCTTGAACACTAATGAAATTGATGAAGAGTAGCAGAGTGTATTAAAGATGATGTGTTGGTTGTGTGCAGGATGCCACATTCTGTGTGGTGTTACGAGGAGCTCGGCTGGGGCAGCCTGTTCTCGGTGATGCATTGCGGTCCGGCTGCATCCCCATCATCATCGCCGACGGCTACATCCTTCCCTTCTCCGAGGTGCTCGACTGGACCAGGTAATTGCAAGCAAAGTTCTTTTCTTGATTCAATACACTTTTGAGGAATCCCAAGACCTCGTTATTCACAGTTGTGTAATAGTTACCTGTGAAAATGTTCAATAGTACACTCTAAAGAGCATAACTTCACTTGTTTGCTTGAAGTGCTCATGAAAGGTTTCATTTAAATCAGTGAAGGCGAGCTTCAGAAGTTGAAATCTTTAATCAATACTTAAGGATCTAAAATATTGGAGAAACACTCTAGTCGAGTTGGACACTATTCCACACAGTTGCAGCAGCCAGAGCACAAACTTGTCTTGATCTGGACTTGTCACACAGTAGAAAGCTGCGCATAGAAAAGTCAAATCAGTAACCATTGTTACTATTCAATCCCCAGTTTACTGCACTGTTGTGACAACTGTACTAGGACCAAATGTTGTCTCCTGTATTTATCATGATTTGAGACTTTCAATCTTTCCCTGATCACAGGGTCCAACTTAGACCCCTATCTTGCCCTGATCACAGGGTCTAACTTAGACCCCTATCTTGCCCTGATCACAGGGTCTAACTTAGACCCCTATCTTGCCCTGATCACAGGGTCTAACTTAGACCCCTATCTTGCCCTGATCACAGGGTCCAACTTAGACCCCTATCTTGTCCTGATCACAGGGTCAAAGGGTCTAACTTAGACCCTATCTTGCCCTGATCATCTTGCCCTGATCACAGGGTCCAACTTAGACCCCTATCTTGCTTCTCGATCAGGGTCTAACTTAGACCCCCTATCTTGCCCTGATCACAGGGTCTAACTTAACCCCTATCTAGACCCCAGGGTCTATCTTGCTATCCTGATCACAGGGTCCAAAATTAGACCCTATCTTGCTCCCTGATCACAGGGTCCAACTTAGACCCCTTAGATTGCCCTATCACAGGGTCTAACTTAGACCCCTATCTTGATGATCACAGGGTCTAACTTAGACCCCTATCTTGCCCTGATCACAGGGTCTAACTTAGACCCTATCTTGCCCTGATCACAGGGTCTAACTTAGACCCCTATCTTGCTCCTGATCACAGGGTCCAACTTAGACCCCTATCTTGCCCTATCTCTAACTTAGGCCCCTATCTTGCCCTGATCACAGGGTCTAACTTAGACCCCTATCTTGCTCTGATCACAGGGTCCAAGACCCTATCTTGCCCTGATCACAGGGTCTAACTTAGACCCCTATCTTGCCCTGATCACAGGGTCCAACTTAGACCCCTATCTTCACAGGGTCCAACTTAGACCCCTATCCCTGATCACAGGGTCCAACTTAGATCCCCTATCTTGCCCTGATCACAGGGTCTAACTGATAGACCCCTATCTTGTTTCCTGATCACAGGGTCCAAACTTATAATCCCCTATCTTGCCCTGATCACAGGGTCTAACTTAGACCCTACCCCTATCTTGCCCTGATCACAGGGTCTAACTTAGACCCCTATCTTCTTGCTTAGACCCTACTGATCACAGGGTCTAACTTAGACCCCTATCTTGCCCTGATCACAGGGTCTAACTTAGACCCCTATCTTGCCCTGATCACAGGGTCTAACTTAGACCCCTATCTTGCCCTGATCACAGGGTCTAACTTAGACCCCTATCTTGCCCTGATCACAGGGTCTAACTTAGATCTTGCCCCTGATCACAGGGTCTAACTTAGACCCCTATCTGATGCCCTGATCACAGGGTCTAACTTAGACCTCTATCAATGTGATGCTTGATGTTGTTTGGTTGTTGTTTAACACCGCACTCAGCAATACCAGACCAGACAATCCAATGATCTAAGCACCTGGGATTCGAGTCAGGGAGCCTGACCACAAGATCCCGTTAGTCGCCACTTGCGACGAACATGGGTTGCTGAAGACCAATTCTAACCCAGGTCTTCACGGGTTTGATACTTGATGTAATGTGGGACTTAAAGGATTGTGTGATCAGATTTGAATTGTTGATGCAATTTCTTGATCAATTTGGTTAATTGCTTGTCCTTGTGGGTCATTGTTCATGTGGCAACATAAAAAAACAAACCTTGAATTATGTCATATGGTTGCAGCGTTTGTTTATCAAGCCTTGGGCCCTTGTTTGATTTCCTACCTTAGAGCCCATTTTCTTTGTCCACAACTGTGATTGTGCAGGAATATGGCTTATAGCAGAGTAACACCAACTCCTTATTCAATGAAACAGTTTTGTTATTTTCTTGATGTCCCTTATGTCCCTATACATCAGCATCATTGTCAATGTGTCATAGAATCGGCATCACAGTGCGAGAGGATGACATCGGGGGTCTCCTGAACATTGTCAAAGCATACAGTGTTGATCGGGTGTATGAGATGAGACGGCAGGTGAAGTTCGTCTGGGACAACTACTTCAGCTCCATGAAGGCCATCACCATGACAACACTGGAGATCATCAACGACCGCATCTTCCCGTATGCCAGTCGCAGCTACGAGTCCTGGAACGACATACCCAACAAGGTGAGTGAGTGAACAAGGATCAAAGTCGTAAATGGAGTGATGACGAAGAATAAAAACATGGTTGATGTAGTGTTTATTCATAATAATGATAATAGTCCATTTATCATGCGCATTTCTCCATCCTTAATGCATACTCAAAGCATCCAATCTGATTATCATTACCCTGGATAACTCAAGCTGCCAGGCGTTAGAAGGTTAATAGTCACATGACCTACTCCACCGTGTACCCATTTTTATAATATATGATGTTTTGTAGTTGAATAACACATTGACAAACAAACTCAATTTACCAGCCTTTACTTGCTGGCTTAGTACTGACCTCCCCTTATTCTCCAGGAGGCGATCAACAACCCATTGTTTCTCCCCCTCACCCCCTCAAAGGCCCAAGGCTTCACAGCTGTCATCCTCACCTACGACCGAATCGAGTCACTCTTCGAGGTCATCAAGCAGGTTGCCAAGGTACCTAGTCTGGCCAAGGTCGTCGTTGTCTGGAACAACCAGAATAAAGCCCCTCCTGCAAGTAAGTCTCTGATGAACTGATGAATCTATGGGCTCACAGAACAAAGAATACTTGCTACTACTCAGTAGCCCCGATGTGAATACTTGCTTCTCAGAAACTAAACTCACTCAATATGTTTGAAAAAAAGAAGTTTCCTTTCTACTTTTGGAGATGCACAAACATGACTTCTTGTGGATGTTGAAACAAATTTTAATACATGTAACTGAAATTCTGGGATATAGGGAAACATTAAACATCCTTTCTGTTCTGTTTCAGTGTCATCATGGCCGTACATTGGCAAACCTGTGAAAGTTGTCCAGACCAAGAAGAATAAACTGAGCAACAGGTTGGTGAACCAGTGGGAGATCCTACAGGCAAACAGGGATAAGTTGAGCACCGACCTCCTGACAATTGACCCGTATTAGTATGTATGAGTGACGCCCACTTGCGCTTACCATGTGAGCGAAGGGGCCCCAAGTTGTCCGCAATCAAGTGTAGTGCAACATCGACCACGTGAGGGTCTTATGAGCAAGGCGTGTGCAGCTACACGTGGAATAAATTTCATCATCATGCACTGCAAGTGCACTAGCCTACATCTGCTCTACCTTTCACAAACCAAATGGGTTTGCTCATTGCTGTGCACCGCCTACTTCTCGTAAACGCGTTCTCTGCGCCGGCCCAACTTATCCTTGTTTGCCAGTAGTGACACAGGCTTTGTAAGGCATACAGAGGTTAAACTGGATCTGTGCTTGCATGGGTTTCATAGCTGGAATATTTATACATCAATATCACAGTCAAACTCATGGTTACCAAAACAGTGGATGTTGAAAACATGCATTACTTTGAGCTTTCCTCCGCATTAAGTGATTTGTTTTGATATAATGTGAACCATCGTGTGGGAGATCCTAGTGACACAGGCTTTGTGAGGCATGCAGAGGTTAAACTGGATCTGTGCTTGCATGGGTTTCAGCTGAATATTTATACATCAATATCACAGTCAAACTCATGGTTACCAAAACAGTGGATGTTGAAACATGCATTACTTTGAGCTTTCCTCCTGATTTGTTTTGATATAATGTGCATCGTTGGGAGATCCTAGTGACACAGGCTTTGTGAGGCATGCAGAGGTTAAACTTGATCTGTGCTTGCATGGGTTTCATAGCTGAATATTTATACATCAATATCACAGTCAAACTCATGGTTACCAAAACAGTGGATATTGAAGACATGCATTGCTTTGAGGTTTCTTCCACATTACCTGATATGTCTTGATATGATATGAACCACTGTGTGGTATTCATGTTTTAACTGTTGCATGGTATCTCGGTGGCATACATACAAGCGCTCACATGCAACAGGGCAATGCAACATTAAAATTCATTTCATAACTCATAAAGGGTAATAATGCCCAATATGTTTCCAGGTTCAAGTTGAATGTAAATAAAATCAGGATAATCACTGTTACACATAATAAGATTTGAACCAGCTGACAAAGTGTTCTAGAGGATGCGGATTCAATTTAGCTGGGACTGACAAATACTAGTAGGTTAGTAGGGCGGTGGGGAAGCCTAGTCGTTAAGCATTCGCTCGTCACGCTGAGACCCTGGGTTCAATTTCCCACATGGCTACAATGTGTGAAACCCATTTCTGGTGTCCCCTGCCATGATATTTCTGGAATATTGCTACAAGCAGCGTAAAACCCAACTCACTTACTCACTCACTCACTCACTACTAGGTTAGTCCCCCTTTAAGGTCGCACATCTGTTGTCTTGTGTCGCAGGTTCTTCCCCTATGATGAGATAGAGACGGAGTGTATCCTGGCCTTGGATGATGACATTATCATGCTGACAGCCGATGAACTGGAGTTCGGTTATGAGGTAATGTCTTCATACCATTTTCTGTTGCCATTTGCCAGTGTATGATATTTTTGTATGATATGGCGATGTAGATCAAGGGGAGATAATTTTGTCATTCTTTGAGAAAATTATGTCCCTTTCTTCTTCAAATAGAAATATCTTCAAAATGAAATATCAGAAATAGGCTGAGTTTTCGTTTGAGATTTATTGACATGTGATGCTTCTGTAGGTATGGAGGGAGTTCCCCGATCGTCTTGTGGGCTTCCCATCTCGTCTTCACTTGTGGGACAACAGCACGCACAAGTGGAAGTACGAGTCTGAGTGGACCAATGCCATCTCCATGGTGCTCACCGGCGCTGCCTTCTATCACAAGGTACTGGTACTACTACTACTACTACTACTACCTGTAAAAATAACACAGTAACTATTACTACTACTACTTCTTCTGCCACCACTACTACTACTACTTCTTCTACTACCACTGCTACTGCTGCTGCTCCTACTACCACTACTACTACTACTACCTGTAAAAATAACACAGTAACTATTACTACTACTACTTCTTCTGCCACCACTACTACTACTACTTCTTCTACTACCACTGCTACTGCTGCTGCTCCTACTACCACTACTACTACTACTACCTGTAAAAATAACACAGTAACTATTACTACTACTACTTCTTCTACTACCACTGCTACTGCTGCTGCTCCTACTACTACTACTACTACTACTACCACTACTACTCCTCCTCCTACTACTACTACTACTACTACCTTTAAAAATAACACAGTAACTATTACTACTACTACTTCTACTACCACTGCTACTGCTGCTGCTCCTACTACTACTACTACTACTACTACTACTACTACTACTACTACTACTACTACTACTACTACTACTACTACTACAACTACTACTACAACTACTACTTCTACTACATGATGATACTACATTACTGTTACCACTATTAGTGCTACTAAAAATTAACTGTAACAATTGTAAGGTGGATAAAATTAGATGATGATAGCTTGGTTCCTTAAAGAGTAATGATATAATTTACAGGTCTGTGATAAAGCTGATGTTGTTGACATTGATGTCATTCCATGACTGACTTACCTCCCTTTTCCTGCTCCAGTATTTCAGCTACCTGTATACCTACTCCATGCCGGGCAACATGAAGGTGTGGGTGGATGAACACATGAACTGCGAGGACATCGCCATCAACTTCCTCATCGCCAACATCACCGGCAAGGCTCCCATGAAGGTGACGCCCAGGAAGAAGTTCAAGTGTCCACAGTGCGTCAACAACGAGATGTTGTCGGCCGACCTGACTCACATGGTGGAGAGGTCGGAGTGCATCAACCAGTTCACCAGCATCTACCAATCAATGCCGCTGAAGAGCGTGGAGTTCCGGGCTGACCCTGTGTTGTACAGAGACAACTTCCCCAGCGTGATGAAGAGGTTTAATAACATAGGGAGCTTATGATTGGGGAGGATATACAGCGTATCTATCACCATGGTATCCATAGTGCTGAGAAGGTTAACAATACTGGGGAATTATTATCATGGGAATATATAAATGGCGATAATTTTGTCATTCTTTGAAAATTATGTCCCTTTCTTCTTCAAATAGAAATATCTTCAAAATGAAATATCAGAAATAGGCTGAGTATTTGTTTGAGATTTATTGACATGTGATTCTTCTGTAGGTATGGAGGGAGTTCCCTGATCGTCTTGTGGGCTTCCCATCTCGTCTTCACTTGTGGGACAACAGCACGCACAAGTGGAAGTACGAGTCTGAGTGGACCAATGCCATCTCCATGGTGCTCACCGGGGCTGCCTTCTATCACAAGGTACTACTATTACTACTACTACTATTACTACTACTACTATTACTACTACTACCTGTAAAAATAACAGTAACTATTACTACTACTACTTCTTCTACTACCACTGCTACTGCTGCTGCTGCTCCTACTACCACTACTACTACTACTACTACTACTACTACTACTTCTACTACATGATGATACTACATTACTGTTACCACTATTAGTGCTACTAAAAATTAACTGTAACAATTGTAAGGTGGATAAAATTAGATGATGATAGCTTGGTTCCTTAAAGAGTAATGATATCAGTTACAGGTCTGTGATAAAGCTGATGTTGACATTGATGTCATTCCATGACTGACTTACCTCCCTTTTCCTGCTCCAGTATTTCAGCTACCTGTATACCTACTCCATGCCGGGTAACATGAAGGTGTGGGTGGATGAACACATGAACTGCGAGGACATCGCCATCAACTTTCTCATCGCCAACATCACCCGGCAAGGCTCCATGAAGGTGGCCAGGAAGAAGTTCAAGTGTCCGCGAGTCGTCAACAACGAGATGTTGTCGGCCGACCTGACTCACATGGTAGAGAGATTGGTGCATCAACCAGTTCACCAGCATCTACCAATCAATGCCGCTGAAGAGCGTGGAGTTCCGGGCTGACCCTGTGTTGTACAGAGACAACTTCCCCAGCGTGATGAAGAGGTTTAACAACATAGGGAGCTTATGATTGGGGAGGATATACAGCGTATCTATCACCATGGTATCCATAGTGCTGAGAAGGTTAACAATACTGGGAAATTATTATCATGGGAATATATAAATGGCTTCATAATATCCCCAAGTGCTGATTAAGTGCAACATTATCGGGAGTTTGTGACTGGTTAATTATAAAGGGTTTATATATCAGTGTTATCATTATAGAACAAACTTTATGGATAACAACTTCTTTTTAAATTTGTGAGTGCGACGTTTCGATACAGATTCTTGTACCGTTGTCAAGCATAATGCCATTATGCATTGTCACGAGTAAAAAGAAGTTGTTATCCATAAAGTTTGTTCTATATTGTACTTCCCAACTTCTAAAATACCACTCAAAGAAGTGTTATCATTGTGCCGGAGCATCAGGTTAAAATAGCCATTTGTCCAAAACTTGTGAAAATGCAGATTTCTACCAAAACTTAAATCTTTTTAAGTAAAAAATGAACCCTGGATTAGTATGTCCAAAAGCGTCAACCTTGAGGGGCATCCCAAGTTGGGAGTTATCAAATAAGAAATAATAGTACATAAATACTACCAGTGTCTGGATGAAGTTTAATACTGAAGTGTATGATTTGGACATGTTAAAGAGCTTTAGATTATCTATTTGAACAGAAGATGTTTGCCATTGCTAGTAATCTTTGATGTGGGTATTATACAGGGTTTGGTATATCACAAGGTTTCAATACCTACATGTCATTATGTAATTGTCTGATGCTCCACTCTACTTCAAGCTTCAAAGAAACCATTTTTGAACCCAAACCAAACCATCAGAAGGATAAACATAACATGACTGAAATATTTCATCTTTTTTATGACATTCTGCACAATTGTTTGTCTGTATATATGTCGGTGTTTGTATGACTGTAAGTTTGTATGATCGAATGCTTGTATGATTGTAAGTTTGTATGATCGAATGCTTGTATGATTGTAAGTTTGTATGATCGAATGCTTATATGATTGTCTCTCTGATTTTATAACATGAGTTAAAATTGTTTCATTTCATCAAAGTTTTATTATTTTCCGATGCATTTTCAGTGTAGTAGACATTAACAATACAAAAACACCTGTAAATGTTACATTTGCTGCACTAACATGGGTATATATGGGGAGTTTTCCTGGATCATGACAAGGTAAATAACTGTCATTGGTTTTTCTATTTCAAGGTATAGCACTCTTTGAAAACTTCTCATATTCCTGCAGCAAGCCACAGTGTTCATGTATCGTGTGTCATCGAACATACAGCGTTGTGTCGAAGTTGAAGGCATTATCCTAAATACTTTAAGATATACGAGGGATGGTGGTGTAGCCCAGTGGTTAAAGTGTTTGCTTGTCGAGCTGAAGACGCGGGTTCTATGCCCTACATGAGTACAATGTGTCAAGCCTATTTCTTGTGTCCCCAGGCCGTGATATTGCTGGAATATTGCTAAAAACTGCTTAAAATCAAACTCACTCACTCACACAAGTTATCTGAGAATCGGGAAAACTACAAAATTATGACAAAATAAGAAATACGGAGGGACCAAGCTTTTACTTCGATACACCTGTAAGTTCAATGCATGGAAGTTTGACATATTTGTGTCTGTATGTTGAAAATCATCTATCTCTTTCATACGTCATTTGTTTGTTAGCGTTCAAAATTAAGCATGATAGTCACAGGGTCTTTGTCATGACATAAATGTTAAAAGTTAAACTTACGTAAAGACCCTGGACCCTGCCTAGTTTTGAAAACTGCTCTGAAGATGGTAGTAAATAGTCACAGGACTTGAATCTCCAAATCTTATCTGTGATATCATGTTACTGGTAGATTTGATTCATAATAGATGTCTCCTATATCTCACTGTAGGTTATCAGGTGAGTTTCAGGTGCTCTAAGTCAGAGGATTTAAAGGAGTATTTTCACTAATGTCCATGTGCCAAAATCAAAATTTGTAAAACTTAGTTTTTATTTCCCTTTTAGCATCTTTAGCAAAATAATAAATGATTGGCTTAGGATATGTAGTTAGCCATTATTAGAATATAGGGTAGGAATGAAATTAACTGCCACGTTGTTTTGGGAAATGAGACATGAACAAGAGTTCTATGGATATACAACTTCTTTAATATAATATGAGCGGCGTTTCGGTGTAGCTACTAACACTGTTATCAAAGCAAATGATATACAACTTCTTTAATATAATATAGGAGGCGTGGTAGCTATCATTTGTGATTGAATAGCTAGCTACTACCAACGTCGCTAATAATATATTAAAGAGGTTAGCTATATCCATAGAACTCTCCTCGTTGTTCATCACACCAACTTCTAAATGCCACTCAAACAAGAAATGAGACATGCTCCAAAAGTTTTGCTTGCCTTGTATGTATTGCTTTAGACTATACTGGTGGCATCATGTCATGATCTGTCGTACCACGTATAATAGTCTCAGATTTGTACCCCATTTTACTGTCCAGGCTGAGCAGCCCACTTTATTGTGAAGGGTTATAGTCCGTTTGGCTCAAAAGTGGACCGATAAATTGCAATCTAACTCGAAAACTACTAAACATACAATTTCGGTGTCCATTAGCAAGTTTGTTGCACAGTTAATCATAACAATGCCAAAGTGATACTCAGATTAAATAGTTAGTTGATAAAGAGTGACTGTGATACTGGAGATTAGTCACCTCATGCAGTAATCACTTCATTCATAACTGCTGAAGAGTAAGTTTGCAAAACATATGCTTATTAACATTATCAAAATCATCTAATTCTTTCAAATACTTTACCTTTGTTACATCACTGCCCTCGTCCTATATTTCCGCTGTCATTTTAAGCATGTTTAGATTTTCAACAGAGGTCCTCTTCACAGTCAGCTTACCTTAATTAATTTTGTGGATAATACCTTTCCTCAATCCTTGATCAACAAATCAAACTGCTTCTTTAGTTATAGTGAGTATTCTTATGATTCATGTTTGATTGAATGTTTGAATCTCTGTGACCTTGATATTTCCAAGAGGTTATGAAAATTCTATCTTGTCCCCAGACTCAAACAGTTCTCAGAACAGCATTTACCAAATCAGTGGTAACATGAAAATTTACAAAGTTCTTGAAAGGCATTTAGAATTTGGACAAACATGAATACATGACACGTTTTTATGGATAACAACTTCTTTTTATTCTTTATACAGCGTTTCAGAGCTAATTCTTGCTCCTGCATCAGGTGAACGATGATGGAGCAAGCATTAACTCTGTAACGTTGTATAAAGAATAAAAAGAAGTTGTTATCCATTAAAAACTTGTAATGTGTTAAAGATTTACAAATGTTTGGTTTCATTTCCTGCAGAGAACCTTTATGTTTACTGTGTGTTCAAGTATTAATACCAAAGACACTTCCTGTGTAATATCTCTATGCCCCTGTATCTAGTCCCTGACATGTAAATACTAGTGTTAGTAGCATAGCCAGAGACAATTATCAAAAGCATTGTTTCTGTGTGTGTATCACCCATACAACAGCATAATTAATAAACTGGTTGCCGAATACATAATATACAATGTTCATATGCAAAGTGTCTTAAGACGTGTCTCTGGAACCATTTTAAAGCATTTAGTCGAATGATATCTTACGACAGAATTTAGAAAGATTGGTGAATGCTGGGAATATTTTAAGTTTGAAAACACTGTTATGAAAGTGCCAGCAATACCATAATCTACTGGAATTATGACTAATGTTGACAGTCAAACACCAAACTGTATTTTATTTTGACTGAATTAGATAATGAGATTTAGTTAGGCAGATCAGTAGAGAACTGTTTACATGCCCTGAATCAAAACTAGATGTTAGCCCAGGAGTAGTTGTTGGTTTGGTCATTCTCTGTATTCATACTGCTAGCACTACAACTAGCTTTAACACAGACATCCACATCAATCTTCTTTTGGTTTGG